ACAGATATAAAAAAGACACTGTCTGACGTGGTGTCCACCGAGCTCAACTCAGCGATGGACACAGATAGACCACATTGTCATCAGTCATCGCTGGAGAGGATCAGTGGAAGACTCCCGTTCCTTCCAGAGTACATGCTTAGATAGCAACCACGCGTTGGTCCTAGCGCGTCTCAATGGACGTAGAAAAAATTTGGCCACAAAACCACTACGAGTGCAGCTCGACAACGAAAACACCAAACCCGTGTTCAGTGAGAAGTTGGCTAGGCAGTTGTCGGAACAGAACACCATCACTCATCCAGAAGAAGCTTCGTGCTATCTCCAGTCTGCTGTAAAAGCAGCTCTGAAGACCGTAGCCCACTCAGAAGGAGTGGCTGTAAAGAGCCAGTGGATATCAGCAGCTTCTTTCAAACTAGTGGATGCACGTGAACGCATACCTGCCTGCAGGCTCTGAGTGCAATGAAGAGTGAGCGCAACTTAAAAGTAGATTGAGAAAAAGTATACGCAACGATCACGAACAGTGGTGGGCAGCGGAGGCTAAAGAGATGAAAAAGACAGCGGCGATTGGTAACAGTAGACAGTTACTTGGACTTATTAAAGAAAATGGGGGAAAAGGTCAACAACAGTTAGTGAGACTATAGCGAAGAAGGATGAGTCTGCGATTCACTCGCAGAGGAGACGACTGGAACGATGGGCAGAACACTTCGAGGAACAGTTAAACTGGCCTCCAGCCACCATCGCGTTCCCCGCTATCCAGTCGAATCCAGAATGGAACATTGGGATAGGCCCACAAACACTAGCAGAAGTCGAGAAAGCGGCAGGTAACCTGAAACGAGGAAGGGCAGCAGGACCAGACGGACTAACTTCTGAGGTAAACAAGGGTGGTGGTAGGGTGCTCTTAGTCAGATTAACGGAAGTGTTAACAGGCATATGGGGATCAAATACAATTTCCTCTGACTGCACTAAATCACTGATTATTCCGGTCTTTAAGAAAGGCGAGAAGTCCTCTTGGGATAACCACACAGGAATCAGCCTGACGAACATAGTGTCTAAGATTCTAGGTTCTATAATTCTTCGACGCCTGAGTGGAGCTCGGGAACACCAAGCCCGAGAAAACCAGGCAGGAATTAGACTCGGCTGCGAGTGTATCGACCGAATTTTCACACTACACCAGGTTTCGGAACACAGACACGCTTACCGACACCCGACAATAGCTGCATTTCTCGACCTGAAGGCGGCATTCGACTCCGTTGATCGAGAAGTCTTATGGCTATGTCTCCCACTGAAAGGCGTGCTGAGATATCCAGGGAGCCGTACTCGTCGAGTAGTGTCCGTCAAGGGTGCCCACTATCTCCACTCTTATTCAATTTTATCATAGATATTATTATGGAGGTATCCCTCTCGTCACCTGATTACACAGACGTTGACCTAATCACAGGAGAATTTTCGTTAGACCTAGAATATGCAGATGACATAGTCTTGTCAGGTCAAGACGCTGACAAGACGCAGAGTCTTCTGGATAATTTGAGAATGTTTGGGATGCGTTTCTCACCACCCAAATGTAAATTGTTGCTCAAGGATTGGTCCTCAACAGTTCCACGGCTAACAGTAGAGGGTGTAGTGGTTGAGTGTGTCGACCACTTCACTTACCTTGGAGGTAGGATCAGCTCTGGTGCCTTGGTAAGTACCCGATGAAATCTCTGCACAGATACAAAATGCTCGCTTGGCTTCAGCCAACTTACGCCACCTGTGGCGCCGACGCCATATCCGATTGTCTAGTAAGAGTCGCGTGTACTGCACACCAGTCCGAGCTGTTCTACTGTATGGCTGTGAACATGGCCCTTGAAGGTGGGAGACATGACAAGACTTCAAGTGTTTGACCACCATTGCCTTCGTAGTATAGGCCCTATTCCGTGGTGTCACCATGTGAGTAACGCAGAAGTCAGGAGTAGAGTTTGTTTTAGGGAGAAGAGGTAAATCAGTTGACGAGGTTATGAACCTCCATAGACTGAGATGGTTGGAACACGTGTTACGTGTGCTTAGTCGCCGATTGCCTCATCACACAATGTTGGCTGAAGTAGGTCCAGGCTGGAAAAAGGCCCGAGGCGGCCAGACTAAAACATGGCACCAATGTATGAAGTCTTTGACTGTTGGTTTGAGCTACGTGGGGTGATGCAGACTAGCCGGTTGGAGTCATGCGGGATAAGAGGTACCAGTGGTTGGAGACTCTAGGTAATCACATGGCTCAGAACCGATGTCAGTGGCGCAGATGTATACACACACTATCTTCATCTTAAAGCTATGCCGAATCTCACCATTTTCTCATTCTTCCTTTCTCTCTTCTTTCGTACTTTATATTTCTTTTGACTGAATTTTGTTATCTCCATCCTACACTTCACTGCTTTTTTAATTATTGCAGTGATATGAGCTGTGGCAACCCGGACCGTTACGCAGTAATGCCTGATCTTATGTTGATGTGGATCGATGGACTTCATCCTGTGAAGCTTTTCCAAGTGACTGACTGACTTGTTTCTCTAATCGATTGCTCTGCGACCAACTTCAATACTGGACGCAGGCAATGATACAGGATCGAAAGTATATAGCTTCCTCTCAACTTTTACTCTCAATAAAAACTGCCTGAAATGATTAAAAGACAAACGGAAACAAAGTGTGCTTCTCATTTATCGCAATTAGAGAATCTATAGTTCCTTAGGTTTATGGAATCATGTACTAACACAAGTCATCGTGGAATGGATTTCAACTACAACTTACAAACAAAATAATACATGTTGCTAACATGGAGTCAGATTTTATATGCTACCAAGTCACTACAGAATTTTTAACTTCATATAACGTCCCTTCAAGGTCATGCCCCGAACGGTATTTCTGATCACACTATTTTCCTGAAAACTAGAAGAACCTTTGCACATGGCATACTCAAGCGTTATTTTAAGCAAACTACTGGTCCTGGCACAATCACATTTTCCTCATTATTACGAGGGAAAACAGCGATGAAAACAATGAGTACTTGTAAGCTATCAAAGAAACAAAAGATATTGAGAATGCTGGAATAGTAAAAAAGAGATTTTCAAGACTTCGCAATGAGGGATAGTTTTTATTTATTTAGAAAGAAAATGGTACAGCATGTGTGCCGAGACAAGTCATGCAAAATAGTATAAAAACAATGAGACGCAAAAGAAAGAACGAAAACAAAGCACTGATGGGTTAGAAAGGTGATCCCAAACATACACTGCTTACGATTCACCTCTCGATCACAGAAGTAAGAAGACTGTAGAATGATCCTCACTGGTTTTAATTCTAAGCCTTGTCTGATATCTCAAACGACTGAGTTGCATGATCCCTCGGACCCCAACCAAGGAGTCGTGAGGCACACATAGGTGCTAACTAAACACAATTACCCTTCATCTCATGGTGCCACTCGTACACTGGTCACTTTTTCTAACCAGCTTCAGGGCAAATGAACAATGGGCGGTGTGGCACGCACTGGGACGATATACGGTACATATATCTAAGATACCGAAGATGACGGTTCAAGATAACTTCCCTCGATATATGACGTCCATGATCACAACCAAACACACCCTGCTTTACCCCGGGATAACTTGCATTACGTTTTCCCCGGATCAAGCAATCCTATGGGGAAAAAAGGATCGAAAATGCAGTCATCGGACACTATCAGCTCGAAGAGGTTTAGCAGACGTATAGCAAAACTGTCCGCACCGATGCGTTGCATTCACCTTTGATAACTAGGTTAACGTTATGAAGGCATCAAAGGTGACATGGACTCGCGTATACGACTCTAATATTGATGTACAGTTGGAAATCTCACCAATCACACAGTTAACATGACTACCGTGGCACAAACGTTTTTGGTAACTTGCAACAGTTCACCACTAGGGATGATTTAGGGTAGCCTATAGCTATTACCTTGGAATGGTGGTCAAGTTTGCATATCACAATGATCCAACAAGCTGGGCTAGTGTAACACCTGTTCTCTCGGGGTTCTACCATACCAGAAAGGTCTGTTGGATAGTGGACAGACAAAAAGCAGTTACCGTTATGATGTAAATACTATGCCGCGATGGAGGTCAGGAAGCGAAACGATACTGCTGGTTGGATGGATGTATGGTAGCAGTAAGGTGTTTTCCTTGAGCTTAAAAATAGCTTACTCCCCACTACCCTAGATCATGCCGAAACCAAGGGTCGGGTGTACTGTGTTGAGTTTCGCTGTCTTACTCTGGCTGTGAAACATGGACATTAAAGGTAGAGATGAGAAGGCTCCAAGTATTTGACCGCCGCTGTCTTCCTACCTTAGAACGTGTCTCACTGTTTTTACGTAACGAAGTCAGGCGTAAAGTTTAGGAGAGGAAAGTCAGTTGATGCGGTTGTGAACCTTTGGCGACTCAGGTGGCTGGGATATATGTTATGTATACCTAGTCATAGTTTGCCCCAATATAAAATACTAGCTGAAGTATGTAGACGCTGAGGTTTAATACCGCAAGTGATAGCTGACACTTCCAACCAACATTCTTCTGAAGACGTCACTACACAACATAAACATCTACATTAATGACTGAACGATAGTAGCATCACCCAAGAAATGCAGAATTATATGGTTATGATATAAGATCAGTTATCTGAAGTGCAGTTTTAACGACTTTAGGTCAAAAAGTGGGGCCAAAGAAAAAAATGTGAGTGCAGGAGTTAGACTTTGTGAAGGGTTTTAAAAAAAGTAGTGTCACGAAACCTATCAACTAGCACGGTTTTTCCTAATGAACTTAGCCCAACATATGGATTTAAGAGAAGGCTAACTAGGACAACCAGAAACTAGAAACAAGAATCCCGTATGTGGAACATGCGAGATCAGCTTTCGTGATGAATCACAGTCTATTTGGAACAAATACTAACAGGAATGACACGAGCTAATTGGCGGAATACCCAGACCTCTCAGGACGGAATGCAAAAACGTGACGTCAACCAACCTATGATCGAAGTGCCGGAAAACTGAAATTCCCACTACAATCTCCTATGTACCCCTAGAATTTAAAACTTGTGCTATAAGTGATTATTTGATTCACTTTTTCAGAAGTTCTACGTTTGAAAAACAAAAGATGGTTTTTGATGGAAAACTCCCATTTTTTTTGAGCATCAACTGAACATCAATGCTGTACAGCAAAACAATAGCTAAGAGATCTCATGTACAATTCTCGGGGTTTTGTTCATATTGGTCTCTTTTCATGGTTGAAACTCTATTGGGATGGATGGCTTATGTAAGAATTTGTATTTTCAACCCATATATTTCACTCTCTTGGAAGCGATGGGACAGTGGGAAGAATGAAGTGTCACATACTTCTCCAGAATCAATAGCCTAGGGTTCGACGAGGTTCAACATTGACGCTGACCCTCACAGTTTTACCGGACTTGCTAAACTGAGAGCATACGGTCAAGCATCCACGCTGTTCGGTACGCTATCGTGTTACGTTGCACTGCTCGTGATCGACCCCCTAGCCAGTTGGTTGGAAAGCATCGGTATCTTGGAACGACCTGGCAAATATCCTATTCCATCCGACTACGCTGCTGTGTTTTTTCTTGGTCTCGTGTTTGTGAGTATATAACATGTTCGAATAATTAGTGATTGGCCTCTGCATCTGTCAAGTTCGTACCAGGACAGTTCCTAAAGGCATACACCATTTTTTTCAGGTATGAATAATTTACCATATAAATTAAGTGCATCTTTAAGGAAGGTAATCCCGATCTCCTTCTATTCTGTCACTAGAAGACATAAGTGCTTCATGATCATACAACAAAACACCCCGGCATTATGAGTATGCGAAAATTTACAAGTTGTTCCTGACATTTCTGGATGCTTGTCCAGCCGAAGTCACAAATTTCTGGGAACTTGCAGTCTGACGTGCAACAATTTAATATCCCACTTGTAGAATACGTCTGGAGTTTTATGTGGTCTGATTTTCACGTCCGAGTTTGAGCTATATTACAAATACCTAGAAATGGTGACTTTGTTTTGCATCTAAGAACCAGTATGAGCTTTGATATGCACACACAGGGTTAGGGGAGGGTAATTAATATGATGTCAAGGGCGAGGGGCAAGCAGTTCATTGGTTTAAACGTGTTCGGATAGGGCCGGTTTCCACACGTCCCTACCATAAACTTTTCCATCTCCTGTTGTTAAGCATTTCTGGACCATTTTAGTCTGTCGGTAATCTACCCGTGCCACGTCCTATTATCAATTTTACACCCTCAGCCCCCACTATCTTCGCTGACCGTAGTGGCTCCACGGTATCAAAAGTGACTTCTGCCTCTTGCAAAGAGTCCGTAGTACATTCACCCGTGTGGACCTGGCTGTGGTCAGCCAGACTTACGACGAATGACTTCGAGACCTCCCTCCATACTCTCTATCCTCTGGTGAGCAAAGAGGACGAAATTATGGTACACAAACTTTGCGAAAATTGCTTCGCACTTATTCGAAAACTAAATCTCTTCTAATCTCATATTATGGATTCAACATGGGAGAAACCAGTCTATCCGGCTCATCAAATTGATAACAGTTAAGAAAAATACAACTTATGAGCGGTCCCTGACCGCACAAAAGGCAGGCCAGCGAGCTCCATCACGACACTAAAAGTGTCCGCTAGTTATGAAACGAACTGGAATATATCCCTTTTCCGTAACTGGGGTTTGTGAACCACGTCACTTTCATTCCTTTTTATTACTACCCATAGTTTAAATCAACGACGTGCAACATTTGACCCTTGCGCCACAGATGGCTGACAAATTTGACCTGTCCGTATGGCTCAATGTTCCCCCTGGTAAATGCCCATTTCAGAGTGAATTTGTAGTGCCCAGTAAACTTGGTTATAACTTCTATCTGTCGTAAACTTTATATTTACTATTGACTGCAATTGAATGATGAATAACTTTAATGTGCTCGTGAAGTCTTGTCCCCTAGAGTGCTTGGAATAAACGCGCTGTACTTCTACTACTGCCTTTTTATTTGCTGTGTTGTGGTTGTCTAAGGGAAATCGTTCACAGCGTTAGCCATAAGCCCCTGGGTCCAACAAATTCTCACATTTATAGCTTCATTGACCAGAGAAAACTCACTTGTACGATCTGAAGAAACGGTAACTGTCCATATAACCGAATGATCCAGGTGAAGATATAAATTCAGGCATTTTCCCTCTTGAAGTTTTGCAGTTCACAGCAATGCAAATTCACCGTTGTAGTGCGTTAGAAGGCGTTAGAAGAAATGCTGCCCAAACGGCGATGGTTTCTGGGTGGAAGTCATATATGTTCCAGATGAAACAAATGTTGAAGTGTGCGGCATTATGAAGGAGGTATGTTTACTGTTTATTGCCTTATAGTTGGTGAGGTCACATGATATTAAGTGCAGGGTAATCTCTTGCGTAGTGGTGTTGCGTACAAGTCGCTTTTAGAGCCATCAGGAGACTTGGTCTCTTAGGTTTAATTGTCTGTTCGGTTTTGACTTTTGTCATGGCCGTCCGGAAGGTGCACACTATTTATCTCATAAGAGGCTTCATAAGGGGTTATCTGGAGGAGGTTAGTAAGCAAGCCAGTTTATTTCGAAGCCGCTCTGGGGATAGGAAGAGGCGTGATGCCGGTCACTGGGGTGCTCTTTAGATAAATCCTGTCATGTACCAAGTATTATGGACGGTTAGTTGATGCCTGAACTAAGCCTGAGGGTTTCTCGCCAGGCTGGTTATTTCTATTTGGAATGCCAGTAAATATCCGCATAGTTTATAGGATGGAGACGAATATGCGGGCAGTTGCGCTTCCGGTTTTTTGAGTGTAACGGTTGATGGTGAAGTAGATTTATTGCATCGAGATCACCTGTTATGATGCAAGGAAATGTACATCGTAATAGTTGCTGTTCGAATGGTGATCAGCGACACATAGGCTTCCGGTATGTTTGACACCGAATTCTACAACCTTTTCAAAAGCTGTGGTTGCCACTTAACCCATCAGGACTTTCACTGAGGTAGCAGCTTGGCGCTAAGATGTTTAATAAGTAATGATGTGCACCTGAGCTGACTGGAAAAGCATTCAGGGGACAGTGAACCTTTTAGAACAGTCCATTTCGAGGGCTTTTTCACCAAATGCTGATGTCGTGGAAGGGGTGTCGTTTTAATAAGTTGGTGCTTCTCGATCGAAGTGGAACTTCGGATATTTCGGTGAATATGGTTTCTGTGCAGGTTTCAGGGAATGCTACGGGGCGTCAGAGAAATGTGATGCCTTAACTTCTTGAATAGACTTGTTATTATATAGGTGTGTCTTTTTTAATTTTATTTACACTTTTGTTGATGTTGGTTACCTGTTTTTTTCTGTAATGATGTTGGTGTACGCTTTTCGAGATTTGCTGTGTTCATGACCGACTTAAGTTGAAACCCGGGTTAACAGCACGGAAACGTTTACTTTTCCAGTTGCTCCTAATACGCAGTCTTACAGGTGTTCAAATGCCTTATTTTAACGTTTAGAAATCCCTTCAATCCCAGGGAACATGCAGACAACTTTAATGATATTTCTGTATATATGAAGGTTCCTTTAAATTCTCTTTCGCCCAGAAAGCATAGATGGTGACCAAACGAGTGACAGGCTCATCATCTGTGAGCTAGTTACCAAGTGAGAATCAAGAGGTAGTGAACATACGGTGTGCAGTACTGTGGCAGGCAAATTCTAAATATGGGAAAATTTATTCAGGAAGACATTACTTTACGGGCCAGGGGTACAAAATTCGGTTTCATTCGATAACTTATGGTTGCTAGTATCTTATGTATATTCTACAGGTAGTTTAGCCTCCGGGGCGTAAGGCTACAGGCGCTTACGGCTTGACTCTCACTCAAGTATAACGCTCAGTTCAGGCCGTCACTTTTAGCGGTATTCTAGCTCCAAAATGTCATATCAAGGGAGATAGTCTAAGCTACAGTAATTTTCCAGCTGTCTCAGCGTGTAATAGCGTTGCACCTCTTCGATTGTTTGTCGCACATATAAAGGCCACATGGAAAAGACAGGTAGTGTTCTAGAACTGGGCGAATGCACACCTAGTAAAAAATAATGTGGTATTTTTCACACAACATAAACCGCGAAAAACAAACAGGTTTACGGGTATGGTCACTTCGGTGAAAGGATGCTAAAATGCTTCGGCAGCGCCGGAACAGAGGGGATATCATCATACTTCTTTAAATACGGTGGCCTTAATATTCTAACGTCATTACTTAAAATAGTTGTCCTGTCTTTAGAATCTTTCACATACCCTGATATCCGAAAAACCTCATTTATTCTGCCTGGATAAAAATTTGGTCCAGAAACACTAGCCAGTAACCGCAGATCAATAAATATGGACAAAGCTGTTAAGGAAGCCGTTCTTAAGCACATACTTGGTAGCGCCATGATTACATCGCGTCAACGTGGGTTCCCGAAATCGAGGTCCTGTATAACTTGCTACCTCGACTTCTTCGACTTCCTAACCGCTGTGCGTCACCGACGCCAATTTGTCCCTGTACTTTATCTGGACACTTCGAAGATGCTTGACACAGTTGATCACTCACTGTTAACAAGTAATTTAAAGTCTCTGGGGATTGGCTGTCCACTATTGGGATGAATTAAGTCTTTCCTCAGTAATAGCACTCAAGTGGCGAAGGTAGATACACACACTTCAAAACCTAGGTCAACTACCTCTGGTGTTGTTCAAGGCAGTGTATTAGGCCCCCTTCTCTTCACTTTATGGGTCAATGGCATCTGCAGCTGCTTTACATGCGGTAGACCATTCTCGTTTGCTGATGGCCTAAAAGTTGCATACACATTCATCCGCGATAATTTATCCCACTTCCAAGCATTAGTGCAACAGGAACTTGATATAGTATCCCCATGGCCTATTGCTTTGAAGCCTCAATTCACTACAAGCAAGTGTGGCTGGATATGTTTGGGTGCCCAATCGGCAACCATCTAACTACGTCTTCAGTCCATGAAACAACCTCTCCCTTACAAATATGC